TCTTTTAAACAATTCAAAATTAGCTAACTTAAGATAAATTTTCATAATAGTCAATATAGTCACTTGTTGTGAGCCCCTTACTAACACATATCCTTGTTTCAGATATCATGTACTTCTAACACTTGGTAGATACCTGTTAGTGAAGGTCATGCAGCTTTGTAACTCTAAGGAAATTCCACATGAAAGTGTCCACCCATTGAATAACACTTGTAATGTCAATGACCTCTATTTTTCTTTGACCTTGACCTTAAACACATGGATGGGTACTAATATATTTAATAGAAAATAAGCGCTATCAATAAATTAATGTGAAATGTCCCTAAACACTCAGCTATCCTATTGTTGATATCCACTAATGTCAAACATAGCTATTTACAAATATGTGTATCATACATATTCATGAGTTCTGGATCGAGACCTGACTGAGTAGCCAGGTGACAAACAGGAGATAGAACTCTATTCAATGCAAATGTAAAAAGATAAAAATGTGAAAATATGTAATCAAACAGCTAAGGGTCCTTTTATTCTTCTCAGAGCTTGAGAATCTCCGAGATTTAGAGAGGTATAAGGAGAATGGGACTTTGTACCTGGCCAGTACCAGGTTACAGTGCCAAGTTGTACATGTCAATGTTACACTCAATAGAGTTACAGTGTCCTTGTTTCCTAATCTAACAGTCAAATCAATCACAAACTGACAGCTGCAAAAATTCCAAGTAAAACTTTGATGCTAGGCAATATCTGATGATTTGATCCAAGGATCCCTTCTTCTACACCTGTGATGTAAGCACAAGAGATCAGGTTTTTATGCTTACTCTGCACTGCTGTGACAGTTTGAGGAGTTTAGGTCAGGCTATGTTACCACTTCCAGGATACCATCAAATACCAAGGCCAGTCTGTGTACATGGGGCTTTACTGCTCTCACCAACAACTGGATCTCTGACATGGTATCTAGCAGTTCACTATGCCTACAGCATGGACCCAACAATATAAGATCATATTTGTAGATGCATACTTGGCATACCGCTCAAGTAATTGCACTTGTGATCTTTTGCATTTTGGTTTTTCAATTGATAAAAAAAATCCTTTTCAACACAGGTTGTGTCTGTTTCTACCAAAGCTCTGTTACACTTGTAATGGGAATGATAAAAACTTCTTTAAAGATGTGACAGAGATCAATCTATTGAACTAACTTTTACATTGTAGCGTATTGTTTTATAGTTTTAATACACAGCCATCAGATGGTTGTTCAGGTGTCGTGAATCACAGTATCAACAAAATGTCAAGTAAGGTGTTTTACTTTACAAATACTGACTGTTACATGTGTTTTACTTTGTAAATAGTGAGTTCCGGCATCGCTGTACTAAGTAAATACAAGAAACTCAGGAATGTGGAGTAGATGTCCCCTGTGTTCAGTACTCCTGTCCCCACCACCTGTCTGTGAGGAACAGCAGGGAACAACAGGTACTCCTGTTCCCTACCACTTTTCTGTGAGGAACAGCAGGGGACAACAGGTACTCCTGTTCCCACCACTCGTCTGTGAGGAACAGCAGGGGACAACAGGTACTCCTGTTCCCTACCACTTGTCTGTGAGGAACAGCAGGGGACAACAGGTACTCCTGTCCCTCACCACCTGTCTGTGAGGAACAGCAGGGAACAACAGGTACTCCTGTTCCCTACCACTTGTCTGTGAGGAACAGCAGGGGACAACAGGTTCTCCTGTCCCCACCAACTGTCTGTGAGGAACAGCAGGGTACAACAGGTATTCCAATCCCCTACCACCTGTCTGTGAGGAACAGCAGGGAACAACAGGTTCTCCTGTTCCCTACCACTTTTCTGTGAGGAACAGCAGGGGACAACAGGTACTCCTGTCCCCCACCACCTGTCTGGGAGGAACAGCAGGTAACAACAGGTACTCCTGTCCCCACCACCTGTCTGTGAGGAACAGCAGGGAACAACAGGTATTCCAATCCCCTACCACCTGTCGGTGAGGAACAGCAGGGAACAACAGGTACTACTGTTCCCTACCACTTGTCTGTGAGGAACAGCAGGGGACAACAGGTCCTCCTGTCCCTCACCACCTGTCTGTGAGGAACAGCAGGGAACAACAGGTTCTCCTGTTCCCTACCACTTTTCTGTGAGGAACAGCAGGGGACAACAGGTACTCCTGGCCCTCACCACCTGTCTGTGAGGAACAGCAGGGAGCAACAGGTACTCCTGTCCCCACCACCTGTCTGTGAGGAACAGCAGGGAACAACAGGTACTACTGTCCCCACCAACTGTCTGTGAGGAACAGCAGGGAACAGGTACCCCTGTTCCCACCACCTGTCTGTGAGGAACAGCAGGGAACAACAGGTACTCCTGTCCCCTACCACTCGTATGCGAGGAACAGCAGGGAACAACAGGTACTCCTGTCCCTCACCAACTGTCTGTGAGGAACAGCAGGGAACAATAGGTATACCTGTCCCCACCAACTGTCTGTGAGGAACAGCAGGGAACAATAGGTACTCCTGTCCCCACCAACTGTCTGTGAGGAACAGCAGGGAACAATAGGTATACCTGTCCCCACCAACTGTCTGTGAGGAACAGCAGGGAACAGGTACTCCTGTCCCCTACCACTTGTCTGTGAGGAACAGCAGGGAACAACAGGTACTCCTGTCCCTCACCAACTGTCTGTGAGGAACAGCAGGGAACAATAGGTACTCCTGTCCCCTACCAATCGTCTGTGAGGAACAGCATGGAACAACAGACACTCCTGTCCCCTACAAATAGTCTGTGAGGAACAGCAGGGCACAACAGACACTCCTGCCACCTCCCACGCGACTGTGCAGAACAGCAGCTCACAGCAGGTACTCCTGTCCCCACCACCTGTCTGGGAGGAATAGCAGGAAACAACAGGCACTCCTGTCCCCTACCACTCGTATGTGAGGAACAGCAGGGGACAACAGGTACTCCTGTGCCCACCAACTGTCTGTGAGGAACAGAAGCGAGCAACAGGTAATCCTGTCCCCACCACCTGTCTGGGGGGAATAGCAGGGAACAATAGGCACTCCTGTCCCCTACCACTCGTCTGTGAGGAATAGCAGGGAACAATAGGTACTCCTGTCCCCACCACCTGTCTGTGAGGAATAGCAGGGAACAACAGGCACTCCTGTCCCCTACCAATCGTCTGTGAGGAACAGCAGGGAACAACAGGCACATTAATCAAGGCTAGCTGTATGGGGGATATACCTAAATAATATATCAAATCACTTTGGTTTTAACACCTAAAAGGGCCAGTAACATGGGCTGCATGCATACTGTACTAACAGATAGGGTTTGGGCCTAGCTACTCTTATAAGAATGGATGAATGTTTTAGAAACTGTTGTTGTATCCTTCAAAAAGACATTTACTCTGAATTTTTAAAGTTTACCCAGCTGTACAAATGGATACCAGCATATAAGAAAGTAAACATGCAAAAGTATAATGTAGTTCCAGGAGGGTAACATGGATTCTTCACATCACAGAAGTCAGCTGTTAGCTCCTGCTCTGTTAGGGTTTGGAGACCCAACTCTTGGTGTGTTTACAGTGTATAGTTTAATTGGTACAATCAGTGATCATGAACCCTTCACAAAATAGATAACTTAATACACAGGAATTATAAATACAAGCAAATGAGATAAGTAACTGTATACATCGTTTAATACTTATTCTGAAACTACACCTTCATGATTTTACATTGTGTATATAAACTGTTTTACAGATTTATTGTCAGTTGGTTTTAGTGAGGATAAGCTATTTAAAGGAACACAATAGTATATGTTGTACTGTTGTTCTCTGTTCTACCAAAACCGCAAAAAATATAAACAGTTTTGTTCACTATAAAATGTACACTCTAAAAGGGATGTAATAGGTAAATGTAGACTTGTTCAAGTATGATATAACACATTTACAGACCTCAGGGATATCTGTGAAGTAAACCGTGGACAGATTCTATACGCTATTTGCTTTCGATCAGTCAATAATTGTGTGTCTTTATCAACGAGTTCAAATATATGTAAGTGAACTTCTTCACTTTCCATTTTTTCACACTGAGTATTAATTATCACATAAATAGAATTTGAAATTTAGCTGGAATTGATCCAAAATTTGAATTAAATTTTTCCCCCATGGAAATACAAAGAAGGGTTAAGTATACCTTTAGACTTCTCCACAGTATCAATCACAAGTAAATCCCAAACCAGTGTGCAGTACTTGAGATCACCTGAATACAGCACAAGTACACAATAAATGTGGTGATACAGCACACACTGTACCGACCTGTCAAGTACCCTACAGTTGGAGGTGTTATATTGTGCAGTACTTGAGATCACATGAATACAGCACAAGTACACAATAAATGTGGTGATACAGCACACACTGTACCGACCTGTCAAGTTAGGTTGGAGGTGTTATATAGGCCGCTATATAGGGGACTATAACAGTAGTTAACTGCTCACATCATGAAGATTTATATCGTGCAAAGCTTTATTTGAAATTTATTTTCTCATAGAAATCACATTAACTCATTCACCCCAGAAGACACATTTGAACTCTTCCAATTCAAAGGCCGGAATGGTTCATTATGAAATTTCAGGGGTGAATGAGTTAAGATATAATTTAGTTTTTGAAATTAAGCTTAGGTATAACCAAAGTGACTATTTGACAATTTAAATGTTGCTGCAGATTATATTTTTAACACTATTTTATGTATGAAACTTTCACACAAGTTTCTGTCACAATCTTCATAATTTAACTTGAGTCTTGTTTGAATTGTCACACATATATGGCAATAATGGCATACAAGTCTAATTCTAGTCCCACTGTCCCACTTTTACCTTTTTTGAGTCATACACAAAAAACACTGTTATAGTCAAGTCAAGTCACACAAATAAAAGACTTCTCCATTTTTTACCTGAAACAAAATACTGCCCTACTTTTACCCTAGTAGAGTCACACAAATAAAACACCACCCTACTCTTACCTGAGTCTATGTCCCTTATGCTGCCCTTGAACCTTCGACTGAACGGGCGATCATCAGACTGTGCTGAATCTGTGGAACCAACCTCCCATCGTCGGTCAAGGTCAGATGCCCCACGGTCATTGTGAGCGTCTCTCGTCTGTATTGGACTGGCCAGCGCCGACGACAAAGCTCCAGGCACTTTGTTGGTGGCACCCCCTGCGACTCCAACAGATGAAGTCGCCCTGGTGGAGCCTGGGACTGTGACACTCACATGAGTGAATTTACTGCCGCCACTGGATGGAGGTGGCATGTTCGTATTAAAAGCTGTAAATGGTGCTCTCCCATTCCATCTCAAATCGTTTCCAGTTCTTTCACTTTGATGTTCGTTTATAAACCTAATTTCGGTGTTCCGGAGTGCGACAGAGTCTGTAATATTTCCCTGAGAAAATGAAGATGAATCTACCACTGGGCCAGTATTGCTTGCACTTCCTACTGCAAGGTCTGTGTAAGTACCATCAAGATTCACTTCCCGCATTTCATTGTGTTCATGAAAATCCACGCGTTTAGGACTTCCTGTCGCTCCTCTGCCTTGGCGATCCAAGGATTTTTTATCACGTTCTGTCCGTCTGTCACCACGGTGATTGTGGTTAGAGCCATGGGCAGCAGTGTCGTTGTCTTCCCTGTATTTGTCATCTAAACGAAAATATAAAATTACATGAATATAATACATAGAATCTAACAAAAAATTACAAATTTGCTACTTAGATACCCTTTTATCAGAGCAGTTAAATTATTATCTAGCTTTTGTGTTGATGAATTTCTAACAATTTTCAGTATGGCACACACTGTATGTTTAACAGCGTTCACAATCTCAAATCCTTCCACAAAATGACTGCTGTTTTAAGTTTGCATGACTAAATGAATTGAACCAGTGTTGGTTACAAGTAGCTATATAACAGCAAGTCCTGAAGAAAAGAGTTTAATTCTTCATTTTCAAACCCCTGCACTTTACCAGCAGAGAGTCAAAGTTTCTTTATAAATATATTGAAAAGATCATACTAGTATATATGTGACTTCAACAACATTTCCTTGTGTTTACGAGAAAGAATAAGGAGTCCTTGGAACCCTTGTCACCAATCAAATAAGTCATATTTTATCCACATACTGTACCTGGCATCCATGGATCCACTCAATAACACAAAACCATAGGATACCACTGGATTCATCAAATACCCATGCTTAGAGCCACTGGGAATCAATGTATGATTTCTGGCATTTTTCCCCCTATTTTGAACCCTTGGTCCAACATTAGAACATCTGTTATACCACAACCAACAGAATCATCATCACAGAAAAGTAATGTACTCTTAATCCATGCATTCATATATAGTTACACCTAATCTTTACAATCCCTACTTTCCCTAAAAGAATTGTCCTTATATATGTAAGTCTACCTGTGTATGTGTATGACAAGTACCACCTGTACACTTCTTACCAGCAGTGTTAGAATGCCATCAGTTTAACAGGTAGATACACTGGCTGTAATTACCAAGTGAGGCTGTTATTATCACCTACATCAGATGTGCTACCTGGATACAACGTCCAATGTCTAGTTAGCTTACAGGGGATATAATATCCTGGGGGAGAGGGGTTAAAACACAGACATTCTAGGGAAGACATTTCTGAACATACTTCATATATACCCAAACTATTGACAGCTTTTTACCATATTATCTTACTTTTGTGTACGTGCAGCTATGGTTCTAAATGACACGATTCTTGTTGGACCCAGATCATGCTACAAACCTTTAAATATCCATACATGTCATCAGCCAACCATGAAGATTTCACATAACAGTGAGCCTATTAAATTCTGTAGAAATCAATACACATTCCCATTAAAACAGATATACGTAAGGATTACATATTCCACAGAGTAGATACGTAGTAAAGCCTACACACAGCTTCATGTATACTAAAAAACATCCCATCCCCGATAAAAAGTTGTTTTAATCCAAATTAGAAGACAAAATGAAAGCCTACTGGAGACCTTGACATTACCATGCACCTGTAAATTAATCAAATAGGAAATCAGATAGATTAACTCTCCTTAATCTATACATAATGATAGTATACCATCAATTACCAATCTACTACAGCCAAAACGTGAAAACCTGTGAATAGCTTTATTGCAAGAAAGGAATCGACCAGAACTTGAGCCGCATACCTAAAGTCCAATTTAAAGTTCAATGATGACAGAAATGTCATGTAAGTTACATGAAGACTTTAATTAAGGATTGAATTCTGTTTTGTTGAGGTTTATGGGGTATAAACCTCAACAAAATGGGATTCTATCCTTATATTTACATTCAGAGCAATATTGATACTTGTTCGGATAATTTCTAAAATATAGGTCTTGTGCAAGTCTAACACCACGGAAGGTATCAAAACTTATGACGTCATAACTCACTGTGAGACGTCGTTCTGGTAAGATGAATAAGCAAATTAAGATGTAAATTATTTTTTGAATTCAATTGAATACTTCTGTCAAAAAAAACACAAATACAGATTGCTAAGATGGTGTGTAGATGTCTACTGCCTGACAGTAGGCCTATATGAGCCATATACAGATATATAATTACTTTACTGTTGTATATATGTCAAAAGTCAATACCCATCTCTACAATATAGGCCGGTACCTGTCATATATCACACAACATGTGTGCAAACAGGCCTGTATCCTAATATACAGTGCCGGGCTATATCCACCAGTTCTTAGTATATCTAACCCTCCTTAACTGTCTACGGACAGTATATCTACCAGCCTTCCCATACAATTTACCATGAAGACTTAATTCATGCTGTCATTGTAAAACATATATATGAATAAAGACAAGCATCAGCTTGTGTAGCCATCAAATGGCACCACTGACAGTGCCAGACTTTTCAAAAGTCAGGTTCCAAGTAAATGATTAAATATTAATTGATTAATACACATAAGAATATTCAAGAAATCTGCAAAAGAAAAGCTGTCTCCCTTGCAATCATTTGATACAAGCAAATACAGCATTAACGCAACCACTGAACACAGAATTCTAAACATCTTTTAAAATAATTTTGGGATGTGTACGAAGTTCGAATTGCATGTTATAGTTAACAGTCCCCTTGTCTGACCAAACTGAAAATGAACAAGAGGTCCATTGGACCTGTATTGCTCACCTGGTTTTATATTTAAGTCATTACAACTGAATGCATTAGCACATCTTTGTATGAAATTTCCTCAAAACCAGACAAGATCTATGTTCTAACCCACCTGGGACCACAATATCTGACTTTCAACTAATCAGGGGCCTCCATTGAGTTGCCATGTTAACAGATTTTGAAATAAGTAATATGTCATATTACGGGGTGCAATTAGACAATACTTTAATTTTCATTCAACTATAAGCTTTTATAAACCTAGAAACCAATTTTGAACAATTTATGAAAACTACACTAATCTAGCTGTACCATTTCTTAGGACCACAGGGGTCAAATCAACCTCATTCAATTAGGAAATGTTTGTTCTTCCTCAATAATGTTTTTGACCACATTTTGTACAATCCACTCAGGCAATTAGGGGGTATTAGCATCTTAAAGCAAAATATTAGATAAGTTTCCTGTTTGGGGCCCGGTCTTCCTAGCCCCAGGTGTCGAACCGCGGTTTCATTTAGGAAATGACTGCCCTCCCTCAATTAAGTTTCAGAGCAAATTTGGTTGAAATCTTCTCTGGCATTTAGGAGGAGATACGTTTTAAGGCAAATTTAGCTAAGTTCCCCTTCAGGGCCCCGTCCCCATGGCCTCAGGGGTCGAACCAACCTCATTTATTTAAGAAGTGATTGCCCTACCCTAGTGATGCTTCAGACTAAATCTGGTTGAAATCCTATTTGGCGTTTAGGAGGAGATAGGTTTTAAAGAAAAAGTTGACGACGGACAAGGACGGACGCTGCGCCACGGCATAAGCTCACTATGGTCCTTCAGGCCAGGTTAGCTAAAAATGTTGCGCACCTTCAAAACATCCATTCAAAACAGAAAACTTTATACTTGTACAATGTACATGTAAAATAGATGCTTGACATCTGTACCTCTAGAACAATATTTATTTGGCATCCGTTTGTAGCATGGTGAAGTGCTTGAATTGTATATATACTCTTCTTCCCATCAGTGTACTCTCATGCATGCACTACTGCACATGATCTCTGATTAGCTTCCTGATAGGTCCACATCGGCAATGTACCAAACGTCAGGTACGTACAATAGCTCTCACATCCATCAAATACACAAACATGTTCCATTTACTCCGGGAATCCGTCACATAGGTGACAATCCCTTGGAAGGCTTGCATTAGTATTACAATTCTTAGGTCAGAACTTGTTGATTCAGCTAACAAAGCTCCCTATATACGTGTCAGATTTTAATAACAAACCAGTTAAATGGCTGCTATGGTCCACGAGGATTACTAAGTAATTTGCGATATCAATTGAAGTTTCGCCCAGTAGCATATCTATGTCTACCTGTATGTACCCCGTCAGGTGAAAGCTGGCCCTATTGTTAGTTTTCAGCCTTGTGAAAGGGGATGTACAGGTCTGGCCCCTTGTAGGTGGCCCAGTGGACACTAAGGAATTGTACCTATATTTAATGAGCAATAATGAGGTGTGGCCAACCAAATTGGATCAGAAAAGCTATTGCTGTCAGCGTAGGTGATTTGTGTGGAAAGTGATGTGGACACATCTAGGTACGGGGACATCAAACTGCGATCACAAGCTGGCGATGAAATTTCTGTCAATGGTGAGAATTAATTGATCTCCCCCGGCTCTCATAAAGGACGCTTTCGTTTTCAAACATTTGCAAAAAAGCACTGAAGTTTTTGTTGTATATGAGTATGCTGAGATTAATTTTTCATTAAATTAATCAATGGAAGGCAGATAGATACTGGAATGATAAAAGTTCAGTTTGAGATGGCAATAGGGGACCCTGTGGAGAATAGCTAAAACTCACTTACATATAACAGTATTTGATGTTCACAATATATTGGTGTAGATAGTGGATGTCATGCTGACCTAATTAAACTTAGGTGACCTATCAGTGTCACATGACAAGACCTATATACACACATAAACAGGTACACCAATCTTACTTCATTGTTCTGTTCGTAGAGGTGGTGACAGTACATGTAGTACTAAAGCCCCCACCAAATCCAATGTTTATGAGACATCCTTTTAACAAATCAATGTTACATGATGTACTAGCTTACTGCAACATGTCCTTGCCTCAAAATACAAGAGGCCCATTTGGCTTGCAATTGCTCACTTGTTTTTTCGTTTTATGAACCAGACAAGAAGGTTTAAAAGTTTCCTCCAACATGAGACCATGGTGGCCATCTCAAAATTACAATACAGTTGTGTATTGTTTATAAATTTGGTCTAGTGGAATTGAAAATAAGGCAAAAATGTATCTATCCATCAGAAGACAGAAAAGCCATTTTACTTGATTTTGAACTAATTTTGTACAGCCCTCCACCTCCAGGTGGGCCAGTAGGTGGATCATCATATTTATACAACACCAAAATTCCATGATCCATGAAAAATTTGGTCAAAGGTCACCTCAGCTGTTGTAGATAAGTAGTCTTGTTAAGGAATATTAATGCTAGATGCTGGTTACAGCTGAAGTATACATCACTACTAATTGACCATGTATTTAGTACTGACCCATCCTGCTGATCTTCCTGGTCCCGTCTGCTGCTCCCCCAGTGTGAGCCTTGCTCCTCATGTAGGCACTCCTTCCATACTTATCTACCACAGCCTGGAACAATTCAACCAATGTCAATTAGATTACCGCATTTATGTCAAGTAATACCATTTATGTCAGGTAATACCATTTATGTCAAGTAATACATGTTCTACATTATAATTCCGAACATAGCAACAGTTGTTTTATAGTTTAAGCAAAATATACAGCGACATATTTTGTACCCAAAATGTCAAATACAGTAACACACGTTGTTTTATACTCATAGAGTGGATGATATACAGCAAAAAACCTTTACACTGGCCTGTACTTACTTTTACTAACTATATACCTGTCATATATAGCAAAAACACCCATTTTAAAATATTGTCAAATAAAGCAACACCTGTTTGACAGCTATGATGTTGCATCACTATGGAAATGTTCTTTTATTTTTAAACAGCATTGTTTAAGGATGCATGTACTATTTTCCTGAAGCAGAGTAATGCTTACTACAAATATTACAATGCGTTATTAAGATGTTAATTAACACAATACATCTCCAGCACACACGCAATGCAGGCATATACACACATAGGGAGATATTAGCCAGGTGGTATAGGACTTGTAATTAGCGCCTGATAAGGCAGCTCCTGCAAATTCCTCAAAATTGTATTGGTTAATGTATATATGCTAATTGTATTCATTGCTTTAAATTGTACTGTAAAGCACTTTAGAGTGCTTCGTTATGTTAGCTAGATAGGGCGCTATATCAAATGTTGTATGTAATAATAATAACCTGTACCTGTCATAAACACAGGACATCCTTACATAAGTTAAATGTCAACAATGACGATCGAAGCTCTCTATCTGCTATACAAGTCAATCACAGTGTCTGTCAGTGAGAGATTTATATAGTATAAATACAAATGTAAATACCAACCGTACAGAATATTGAAAGCCATTGAAAATACAGTGACTATATGCATTTCCAAACTTGTGAAACTTTCTTTATCATACACAAATAGATAAGTACCTAGATAAATTTCGAAGTGCGACGATTATATTCAGAAACAGAAAGTCAGTGCCATCATGTCAAGGATAGGGTTGGTATGATGCCCGACATGCACATACCACTGTGATGTCACACGAAAAGGTTGTTAGAATCCAACATTAATACTGTAACTTGGTCCAGACTGTAGTGAGGAGTAGGACAGCCATGTCCAACATACACTAATCACACAATGAAGTACACGATTCCCACAAACCACAGATCCTAAAGTCTGTTGTAAGTAACCAAGAATGGCGGAATCCCACCCTGTAGTATACACCAGGAGTAGGGTGTTTGGACACCAGCTTAGAGCTGTTGACTGGTAGATATAAACCCATATAATATCAAACTTACAAAGTAAAAGCCACACTGGTGTTAGCTTGACCATCAGGCTGGCCAGCCCCTGGCTATAATGGCCCAGTAGGGGCCACTGACACTATCTTGGACTAACAACCTAAGGTATAGTTAGCTTCCTTAGTGGAAGAGAACCCATGGTAACTGATACATCTAACACCCAACTTACATCTGTATCACCATAAACAGCTTCCCTACTGACATCTATTACTTAATTACCAATGTCCAGTATGGTCAACTTACAAGTACAACAGACTGACCACCACTCTAGTGTTAAGGTCATTAAGGTCATGTGCATTAACAAGTGTAATATAAATCAAAGATATGAAAATATATGACATTCATTGATAGTCATGCATATTCTGCATTTGACATGTCAGAGTTAAAATTGCATTTATATTCCCTGCGTCAGTGATCAAATTGTATTTATATTACCATTTCAAAGTTCATATAATAATTCCTGATGTCAGAGTTCACCAAAGATAAACCCATATATAGCCACTGCAACACAAATGAGTCTGCATCAAGAAATCATGAAGTACTTTTTTCCCCCTTCTTTCCCAATTTTAAGTCCCTGTTGCTAAACAACCTTGGAATAAACTACACAGCTTCCCTGCTGTTCCACTTAACACCTCAACTGTCAACACCCTTTTGTGGCTTAAAACATGGTACTCTCCATCCAGGTAACAGCCTAAAGACAGACTACCTGTAAACATGGACTTTTGGGGTTACTCTCCATCCAGGTAACAGCCTAAAGACAGACTACCTGTAAACATGGACTTTTGGGGTTACTCTCCATCCAGGTAACAGCCTAAAGACAGACTACCTGTAAACATGGACTTTTGGGGTTACTCTCCATCCAGGTAACAGCCTAAAGACAGACTACCTGTAAACATGGACTTTTGGGGTTACTCTCCATCCAGGTAACAGCCTAAAGACAGACTACCTGTAAACATGGACTTTTGGGGTTACTCTCCATCCAGGTAACAGCCTAAAGACAGACTACCTGTAAACATGGACTTTTGGGGTTACTCTCCATCCAGGTAACAGCCTAAAGACAGACTACCTGTAAACATGGACTTTTGGGGTTACTCTCCATCCAGGTAACAGCCTAAAGACAGACTACCTGTAAACATGGACTTTTGGGGTTACTCTCCATCCAGGTAACAGCCTAAAGACAGACTACCTGTAAACATGGACTTTTGGGGTTACTCTCCATCCAGGTAACAGCCTAAAGACAGACTACCTGTAAACATGGACTTTTGGGGTTACTCTCCATCCAGGTAACAGCCTAAAGACAGACTACCTGTAAACATGGACTTTTGGGGTTACTCTCCATCCAGGTAACAGCCTAAAGACAGACTACCTGTAAACATGGACTTTTGGGGTTACTCTCCATCCAGGTAACAGCCTAAAGACAGACTACCTGTAAACATGGACTTTTGGGGTTACTCTCCATCCAGGTAACAGCCTAAAGACAGACTACCTGTAAACATGGACTTTTGGGGTTACTCTCCATCCAGGTAACAGCCTAAAGACAGACTACCTGTAAACATGGACTTTTGGGGTTACTCTCCATCCAGGTAACAGCCTAAAGACAGACTACCTGTAAACATGGACTTTTGGGGTTACTCTCCATCCAGGTAACAGCCTAAAGACAGACTACCTGTAAACATGGACTTTTGGGGTTACTCTCCATCCAGGTAACAGCCTAAAGACAGACTACCTGTAAACATGGACTTTTGGGGTTACTCGCCATCCAGGTAACAGCCTAAAGACAGTCTGTATAACTCTGCATGGGTCAACTTACTGTTTGGAACACTAGGTCAACTGCCAGACTACCTGTAAACATAGACATGGGACTGGGCTATTCTCCATCTGTTTAGCATTTTTCTAATTTTTCAGGGAATACAAGTACAAAGCCCACTCAGAAGTGTATGGTGCCTCTTAATTGTCTTATGTGAGTAACCTATCTCAATGCTCAGCACCAAATGGCCCCACACATGCGCTATTTAATTTGTCTTTGTAGAGTGTTGATGATATTCAATGTGTCTTTTGTAGCCTGGAGAGTCGAACTTGCTAATTAAAGTTAAACAGTTTGAGCATGGAATATCTTCATTTGCAAAATCTTCTCCTGGGGCTTAAAGAGTCCATCTTCTCAGAGTGCTATATATGCAGATCAGTTAATCTGTAATCTACCGTAAATTTGTGGGTATAGTGCGCAGGTACGTTTTTGGGGTCAGATTTAAAAAAGTAAATTGAAAATAATATTATTATTATTTTTTTGGGAAAAAATCCTAAAAATAAAAGGTATCAAACTGGAAAAGAAGCATCAAAGGTAGCTTGGTGTTTATAACGCCGATTAATTAACGACTGATTGATTGGAGTCAACAAGCCAAGCCCATGAAGGTCTCCATCTATACTGCTTGGTGGACGAATCCTGCAGAAACCAAACGAAGAAAGTGCTATATGTTAGCCAGAGATGTTGGCTCAGTATTATATGTTAGCCAGAGATGTTGGCTCAGTATTATATGTTAGCCAGATATGTTGGCTCAGTATTATAGCTAATGCATTCCGATGCCAGAGAATCGCCTATCAACTGATGTTTCGAAATCTCAGCGGTTTACTCATAATTACGCAAATGTAGTGTTTCAATTATAGGCTCCGTTCCATGATAGTTCTGTTGGTTTTTTTTTACCAAATTGCTAGGCCTAGGCCTAGTGTGCATTTTTTCCCCCGGCTCAATTTCATGTTGACGTGATCGATAACCCCGTGAATTATTTCAATATTATGAAGCATCATAAAAATAGTGTATTCTGCTTTTATATATTTCCTTCGAGTAGATGTGTTGAATGTCCACGCTTCTAGTATTAACATATTTTTTATAATCCCTTTATGGTCAAATCAGTCTGTAGTTCAAACAGTGCAGTAGGGCTTCACGCCATGGCACATGTTGAGAGTGAAAACAACACGATCGCGACTGCAAGTAATTTCAATTAATTTGCAGTAGAGCTATTGTTAATCGGTAATCACTGATAGAGTGTTAGCTAATTACTGCATTGTAATTTGTATTAACTGTGGTGTTGAGATGTGTGAAATTTTTTCGGTGAAGCATGGCGATCCTACCTAGCCTATTGTCCGGGATCAGACGGTATGCCCTCCGGTCAACTTACCTGTAAAAATGTTATGTGACCATATAGTGTTTGTCGCCAAATCAGCAGTCATGACCACAGATTACCAATTTTAATCATTTAAGAGAAGGTAAAAATTGTGTTGCCAAAAAATGTCATTCTTTGTTGTTATTTTAATCTTCAATCTTATCATCTATGACCGACAACTCAAAATAAAACTATGTGCACCCCCCTTTTTGACATGACAATATTTACCCAAAAAAGTGTGCACTATACGCGCACATCTATGGTAGCTTAACATTACAGGGATTTAAACTTAAGGATTCTCCTTTGATGTTGACAGAATCAGAAATGTCATGTGCAATTAGGTAGGACTTTATATACTGCTGTAAATGGTAATGAGAAATGATAGGACATTAGCTTTGATATACATTGGGTAATTAAGGTACCTAAATGCAAGTCTTAATGGATGTAGAATATATACTGATGACATGAGCATGCATGGCCTTAATTGACCTTATACTTGATGACAATCATACCTTACATAGCAACCTATTTGAATCTTGTCACGTTAAAACTTTATTCTGAGACCTTTTACTGGAAATCATGCTTTCAATAGAAACCTATTTGACCTTTTTGTCACTAAAACTTCACCTTGACCTTATACTAGACAATCAATACTATGTATTATATAAAAACCTATTTGACCAGCTGACCAATAAAACTTCACCTTGACCTTATACTGGACAATCAATACTATGTATTATATGAAAACCTATTTGACCAGCTGACCAATAAAACTTCAACTTGACCTTATAACTGGACAATCAATACTATGTATTATATGAAAACCTATTTGACCAACTGACCAATAAAACTTCAACTTGACCTTATATACTGGACATTACATACTTTATAGAGAAACATATATTGAGCCATCTGGCCAGTGCCATTAAACTTTGACCTAAAACCTTGACAAGCATTGCCATTTACAAATATATCTGATTTGTAATCCATTACCGTTACCTTCCTTCTTCCTTAACATTGGCAATTAGGAGGTACAGACTTACAGGGGAGGTGCCAGAAACTGTTGAAATAATTTGACCTTTGATCTCTTATTGTGACCTTAAACTTGAGGGTATGAACATCTGTGATAAACAATAATGTATCACCATAACATATATGAGAAACAATTTATCAAATAGCATTCAGAAGTACATATAAGTATATACATGTAAGTATATACCCTCTCAAATATGACAGGGAAGAGAGGTGGCGTGGGAGAGTGGTGGAGTAGTAGGGCCAGGATAATATTTTCTTTAACCTTCACAAGTTAAGTTAATGGGAGAATCTAAGTTAAGATGTTTTGTGAGACTAAAGCCTGATGTATTGACAAAGGTCAACTGTATGTGATCACTACAATTACCCCTATTTTATACAAAAATTCAAGCTGTGATTAACAAGCACTTTAAAAGACACTGTAGAAAAACATTTATCTCCAGTGAAAATAAGTCATGAAAACATGGATTTATAGTAACAATGGAATGCAAAAAGGTTTGGACTTTAATCAATGGACATAACTATCCAGTAAATCCTCCAGTAAATGTGAGGGATGTGTTCTGTTCCGCCAGGTCACATGTTTACAGGACATATCAAATACTCCAGCAGAAACACAATGTGATCCGACACAATGAACACCTTATCTAACAGCGACATAGCTACCTGTTCTTCTGGAAACAAGCGACTAACATGCAATGTCAAAATTCGTCTTCCTTTTTATAGTCAATATACAACTGGATTATATAATAAAGAGTAATATTAAGGCTTCCCCTGATAACTTTAAGGTCCTACTTGACATCCTTTACCAGAGACCAGACTTCCCCTGATCACTTTAAGGTCCTACTTGACATCCTTTAGCAGAGACCAGACTTCCCCTGATCACTTTAAGGTTACTACTTGACATCCTTTACCAGAGACCAGACTTCCCCTGATCACTTTAAGGTCCTACTTGACATCCTTTACCAGAGACCAGACTTCCCCTGATCACTTTAAGGTCCTACTTGACATCCTTTACCAGAGACCAGACTTCCCCTGATCACTTTAAGGTCCTACTTGACATCCTTTACCAGAGACCAGACTTCCCCTGATCACTTTAAGGTCCTACTTGACATCCTTTACCAGAGACCAGACTTCCCCTGATCACTTTAAGGTCCTACTTGACATCCTTTACCAGAGACCAGACTTCCCCTGATCACTTTAAGGTCCTACTTGACATCCTTTACCAGAGACCAGACTTCCCCTGATCACTTTAAGGTCCTACTTGACATCCTTTACCAGAGACCAGACTTCCCCTGATCACTTTAAGGTCCTACTTGACATCCTTTACCAGAGACCAGACTTCCCCTGATCACTTTAAGGTCCTACTTGACATCCTTTACCAGAGACCAGACTTCCCCTGATCACTTTAAGGTCCTACTTGACATCCTTTACCAGAGACCAGACTTCCCCTGATCACTTTAAGGTCCTACTTGACAGCCTTTACCAGAGACCAGACTTCCCCTGGTCACTTTAAGGTCCTACTTGACATCCTTTACCAGAGACCAGACTTCCCCTGATCACTTTCAAGTCACTACCTGAAATCTTTACCAGAGATTACTGACAACAATTGTTTTATTCTGAACTGGAAACCACTACTTTTAATCCTTCAGTCTTAAAACCAGTATTTTGGAAAAGTCAGCTGGATGCAAACAATGGGAATTGTTGCCTTTGATTTATAGAGATACCGTGTAATGCTAATCCTTAATGTTTTAGGGCTATTCCATATTTACTATCACAGATAAAATCGGAATTATGTATGCTTATTAATAATTCATGAAGAAACCTTATTATCAAAGGTTTGTAGTATTGAGAGGAAGATTTTATACAGATCTGTTTTAACGGTTCTAACAGTAACAACAACTGCCTGATAGTCACGGGCACATTCTGCCCGGAGTAACGCTTACATACTGCATATTAAAAGTAACAATCCATACATGACTGCATAAAGTCATGTATTATGTTATTGATTTAAGAGACTAAATCATAAAACAGTTAAAGCTTATCATCAGACAGACACAAGTACCAAAAACAAGAACATTCTACATCACAAACACAAAATATCAAATCAATTGCAGTTTTTAATAGTCACACAAATCATTGTACAGCAAATTTGATGTTCATATGAAATGAGAGTCATAATTAATTTGACATCTCTAAAGTGGTTTAATCAACCAGCTTTCAGCTATATATCAGATATATCAGATGAAGGTATGATAATGGACATTCTTATCTAAACATTCTATTGAGGCAGATGAGAGGGGAGATAACTAGAAACGTTGTGCCTACCCCTGAGGGAAACTCGGTCTTGCTGTAAGTCTGGTCCAGTGACGGGTACTCAGTGATGCTCGTCTCTCCTGTCTCATTGAGGTGAGGACGGTGATCTACATCTCCTAAGCGGTGCTCAATCTTCCGCAGCTGAAATCACACACAATCGTAACATGTTATGTAAATGCTATCGAGACACGATTTTTTTAACAAAAAGAAAATTATTAAACACAAAATTGCGTTGTGAACCACAAAAGGTTAACTCAAATTAAAAACGAATATAAGAATTTGAAATATAAGAAGGAATATTGGAGATCAACGGTTCTGTTCCCAGATCCCTAACCAGTTCCATAGAGAAAGGTCAATTACAACATATTCAGTGAAAACTTTGCAAATAAATAATTAAAAAATCCATATTTGTTGAAAAATAATCCAAATTAGTTTAATTTGGGTAAAGATTATATCAATCAGTTCAATCGACTTAGAAATCATGGCAAGTGATAGTTTTGACCTCAGAAAGAATACGGCAATGTATTGAAGTATAAGTTTCGGTATTCAATATGAATTATTGATTTTCATTGCGGTATGGGGTCACGGGATAGTGTTTATTAGTTTATCACAGACCATCCACGACATTTTTATCTAGAATTATATCCAATATACATCTATAGAGGACTAAACTGATCAACAAAAACATTGATTTTTACTTAAAATTTGTTTTATCATAATTCTGTTACTAGTATCAAATACATGAACATTACGGCAGCTTTGATATAGGAAATACTCTGGCATGTTATACAGTGTAGAGAGCGTGACCTTATGATAAATTATCTCCAATGGAATTCAAAAATCATAGCTTTTTATTCATGAGTTTTACTTTCAATCACAAGTTGGTCTATGACTTAACACTTTCACATATTCACTATCCAATATGAACAATTTAAATCCAAATTTCTGTTTACCACAGCTGACAGTTTATCAATGGCTGATAAATGAATTTCCTCCTGGAGATTTTTTTTCTTCTACAGACACCTGTGAGGGAACTTATACACTGACCTTCAGATATGCTGGATAACATCCAACATTTCAGGTATTGACGATGATCAAATTAGAACATGTAAGTTTCATGGCATTTCCCATAAATAGATGACAAGACAAATCCTTTATCATTAAAACCTCATTATGCAAAGATGAATCTATTTAAAATATCCTTTTGAACATTGTGGAAGATTCAGCAATAACATTTTTTTCCCAAAAACTAATATTTCAACTTCAGAGATCAGAAGTTTTCAAAATGCCAAGTTTTAGTACTGTTTGCCAAAAAACTAAAGAAAACTGTTTGGTGAATGTTGCAACAAAATTAATGTGAAAACAGGTAAACACTATATACAAGCTTATTTTATGGACAAAATAGTGTGTACAGCAGGATTGACAAGCTGATATACATATCATAGGGGTGCGTGGGTTTGGTGTTACTGAAGCAGTACAGATATGTACTTCTCTCTCCTCTCTATCATTCTCGTTAAACAAAGAAAAGCAGTACATTCAGTTGGTGATGGTGGTGGTGATGATGTTTTTTTATTATTATATATACTATGACTAAAATTATTTTACACCCTCTTGCTGGAATTATGAATATCACACTTCAACACTATGATGACAAAAGCAGAACTTGTCAATCATGTCTACCAAACCTATGAAAGTCCCTAGTTTGTACATGTCTGCTGAACCTATGAAAGTCCCTAGTTTGTGCATGTCTGCTGAACCTATGAAAGTCCCTAGTTTGTACATGTCTGCTGTACCTATAAAAGTCCCTAGTTTGTACATGTCTGCTGAACCTATAAAAGTCCCAAGTTTGTACATGTCTGCTGAACCTATGAAAATTCCTAGTTTGTACATGTCTTCAGAACCTATGAAAGTCCCTAGTTTGTACATGTCTACTGAACCTATGAAAGTCCCTAGTTTGTGCATGTCTGCTGAACCTATGAAAATTCCTATTTTGTACATGTCTTCAGAACCTATGAAAGTCCCTAGTGTGTACATGTCTGCTGAACATGTAAAAGTCCCTAGTATGTACATGTCTGCTGAACCTCTGAAAGTCCCCAGTTTGTACATGTCTGCCGAGTTTGTACATGTCTGCTGAACCTATAAAAGTCCCAAGTTTGTACATGTCTGCTGTACCTATAAAAGTCACTAGCTTGTACATGTCTGCTGAACCTATAAAAGTCATTAGTTTGTACATGTCTGCTGACCCTATGAAAGTCCCTAGTTTGAACATGTCTGCTGAACCTATAAAGGTCATTAGTTTGTACATGTCTGCTGACCCTATGAAAGTCCCTAGTTTGTGCATGTCTGCTGAACCTATGAAAGTCCCTAGTTTGTACAGGTCTACCAAACCTATCAAAGTCCCTAGTTTGTACATGTCTGCTGAACCTATGAAAGTCCCTAGTTTGCACATGTCTGCTGAACCTATGACTGTCCCTAGTTTGTACATGTCTACTAAACCTATGAAAGTCACTAGTTTGTACATGTCTGCTGACCCTATGAAAGTCCCTAGTTTGTACATGTCTACTGAACCTATGAAAGTCACTAGTTTGTACGTCTACTGAACCTATGAAAGTCACTAGTTTGTACATGTCTGCTGAACCTATGAAAGTCACTAGCTTGTACATGTCTGCTGAACCTATGAAAGTCCCTAGTTTGTACATGTCTGCTGAACCTATGAAAGTCCCTAGTTTGTACATGTCTGCTGAACCTATGAAAGTTCCTAGTTTGTACATGTCTACCGAACCTATGAAAGTCACTAGTTTGTACATGTCTACCGAACCTATGAAAGTCTCTAGTTTGTACATGTCTGCTGAACCTATGAAATTCCCTAGTTTGTACATGTCTGCTGAACCTATAAAAGTCATTAGTTTGTACATGTCTGCTGAACCTATGAAATTCCCTAGTTTGTACATGTCTGCTGAACCTATGACAGTCCCTAGTTTGTACATGTCTGCTGAACCTCTATGAAAGTCCCTAGTTTGTACATGTCTGCCGAGCTTGTACATGTCTGCTGAACCTATGAAAGTCCACAGTTTGTACATGTCTGCTGAACCTATGAAAGTCCCTGGTTTGTACATGTCTGCTGAACCTATGAAAGTCCCTGGTTTGTACATGTCTGCTGAACCTATGAAAGTCCCCAGTTTGTCCATGTCTGCTGAACCTATGAAAGTCCCTAGTTTTTACATATCTGCTGAACCTATGAAAGTCCCAAGTTTGTACATGTCTGCTGAACCTCTGAAAGTCCCTAGTTTGTACATGTCTGCCGAACCTATGAAAGTCCCTAGTTTGTACATGTCTGCAGAACCTATGAAAGTCCCTAGTTTGTACATGTGTACTGACCCTATGAAAGTCCCTAGTTTGTACATGTCTGCCGAGTTTGTACATGTCTGCTAAACCTATGAAAGTCCCCAGTTTGTACATGTCTGCCGAACCTATGAAAGTCCCTAGTTTGTACATGTTTGCTGAACCTATGAAAGTCCCTATTTTGTACATGTCTACTGAACCTATGATAGTCCCTAGTTTGTACATGTCTGCAGAACCTATGAAAGTCCCTAGTTTGTACATGCCCACTGAACCTATGAAAGTGACCCTAGTTTGTACATGTCTGCTGAACCTATGACAGTCCCTAGTTTGTACATGTCTGCTGAACCTGTGAAAGTCCCTAGTTTGTACATGTCTGCTGAACCTCTATGAAAGTCCCTAGTTTGTACATGTCTGCCGAGTTTGTACATGTCCGCTGAACCTATGAAAGTCCCCAGTTTGTACATGTCTGCCGAACCTATGAAAGTACCTAGTTTGTACATGTGTACTGAACCTATGAAAGTCCCTAGTTTGTACATGGCTGCTGAACCTATGAAAGTCCCTAGTTTGTACATGTCTGCCGAGTTTGTACATGTCTGCTGAACCTATGAAAGTCCCCAGTTTGTACATGTCTGCCGAACCTATGAAAGTCCCTAGTTTGTACATGTCTGCTGAACCTATGAAAGTCCCTATTTTGTACATGTCTTCCGAACCTATGAAAGTCACTAGTTTGTACATGTCTGCTGAACCTATGAAAGTCCCTAGATTGTCTAACATGTCTGCTAAATTTTTCAAACATGTTTGCTGAACTAACAGAATTAAGGCAGAGCTTGTACATTTCTGCTGAACCCAAGAAAGGTGGAATTTGTCATAAGTGTCTACTTGAGCCAGGGAAATCCAAGTTTGCAAAACATGTCTGCTAAACCCAGGGAAGGAAAACTTTGTCAAACCAACATCTATGTTTGTCTGGAATAAAACAAATAGAAGTGGATTTCAACAAAGTTACTGCAGGGGTGGAATAATATATGCCAACCCAATGCCATATGCAGATTTTGTTCAACTTTATATAAATTTTGTCCAAGTTTCATCAGAATCTGGTCATATTTGACATAGTTATTTTGCACAAACTGTTGACCAATTAGAGTGCAGTATGCAAATTAATTATGCACAGCATAAGTTTTCTCCGGTACTCGGGTTTCCTCCCACATTAAGAACCCCAGCGCTTATATCAGAGCCAACTAGGGTGATTAATATAAGCTCAAATAACTTATTTAACAATTGTTGTAAAATAAAAATACAAAAAAAATAGAGTATAGAATCTCTATATTAGCAGGAACACTGCCTGACTGGTGGCATGAGTTTTCATACCGACAGCACACCACCTGCATGATTGTTATTATTCTCTTTATTTCTTCCAATTTGAAGATTACATTTAAACAGAATAATGCGCACATATTTACATTACAAAAAAAATCATATTGAATACACATCGATAAGCACCAAATAACATACATCACATATACAGACTTAATTACATTGAAGTCATACATTCAATAAATATCATTAATAAGTGTATATATGATGAGGTAATACATACATATCATATTAAACATTCATATCATTTTTTATATTTATTTTATTTATATTAATCTTTACCAGGATGTGAGATTATATCTACACACTACCGGTAGTATAATTTGTGCATCTTTTCGACAGCTGCTACTGATTTCAATCTAAATTCATTCATGTCTAATACATTTAATTCGTAAGTCATTTGTCCCCCAATTAAAATATGAATTAAT